TTCAAGTCCCAGGGTGAGGCTTGGGAGGGCCCGGGGACAGGGGGGTGGGGGCCAGGAGAGGCCCACAAGTTTGTCTGTGACCGCTGCCCCCGTCCAACCACCCAAGGGTTAAATGAGAGACGCTCGGCCTTGAATTCGTTGGAACGACTCCAGGAGGAGGTGGCAAAGCTGTGGATAGAGCTCCGAGTGTCCAACGGTGAGTGCGCGTCTGTGCCCACAGGTGTGCCGCTACAATCATGTGACAGCACAGGTGTGTGGTGGTGCGTGAATGTGGAGGGCAGGTGTGTGAGTGACAACGTGGAGGGGTATGTGTGTATGTGTGCGGCAGGGCCAACGGAGGGCACATGAGGAAGCCCGTTCTGAGACCAGCTGCACCCCTCCACCGACCTGAGGGTGGGGGCCCCCATGTTTTCCTCCCGGTTAAAGCAGCCACCGGGTTCTCTTTACTGACCAGCCCTCTGTCCACCATGGCTCAGCAGAGGGTCATGAGCAGATGCCCTCAGCCACAGCCCCCCCAGAAGATGGTCGGGCCAGCCCGAGGGCAGTGGCGGGGTCACCGTGGCAGCAGTGGGGATGATGAGCATCATGGCATAAGCCCCAGAGGTGGCGTGAGGCAGGCAATGCTGGCAGGTACAAGGGCCAGGGGGTGGCCCCAGCCGGCCAGCCGCCTGCAGAGGGAGTCGCTATTCAGTCACTGTGCCTTTAACCTGAAGTCCCCCTCCACCCACCCCCCTTGACTTTGGTCTTTCACCTCTGGGAAGCCCCGGCTGCCCGGTTGGGTGAGAGAAGAGGAAGGATCTATGCTCGGTGGGAAGGACTCCGTCCCCGGGAACGTGGTGTGGCTGTGGGATTTCCAGCAGGAAGCCCCCTGTGCTCCCCGGGGCAGCTGGGGGGAGGGGCCTGGACCACGCTCACTCTGAAGGGTTCCCTCTGATGGAGCGCCAGCTCCAGGGCTGTCTCTCAATGACTGGGTGGCACACAGCCACGACACCTTCCCCAGCTTTTTCTTGAAGGGACCAGAGATGTCCTCTTCCCGTCTTCGCATGGCACCTCCAGAGGGCTGCGTACCGGGTGCCATTCCGTGAGTGAGACGCAGACCCAGCTCTGCTCCTCCCAGGGTTTCACAACCTTCTGTGGACCCCAGACTCCTTACAACAACCCCTCCCAGATGTCACTCGAAGAAAATCGATTAAAATCAGGCGTGAGTGGGCCCAGTAACAGTGGGTGCAACCCTCCGCCTGGAGATGCTGGTGGCAGTGACAGAGCCTGAGAGTGTCCTGGGGGGGGGGCAAGGGGAGAGACCAAGGTGGCCTTGGGTCGAGGCCATGGGGACCCAGCCCTTCAGCCCCTTCCCCCTCCCACAGCCTCTCCTGGCCAACGAGAAGAAAATCAAAATATCCCCGAAAGTGGCCAAGGGCTGGTTTGGGGGTGCTGGCAGTGATGGCGGCAGGGCTGTCACTGGAGCAGCTGGTGAGGACAGTGCCGTCAGCACTGGTGGTTAAGACATGGCGGGTCTGATGTTGGGGAAGGCGGTGTCGGCCATGCTGCTGGCGTTGGGTAGACGTTGCTGGGCGATCCTGGTGCTGAAGGTGTTGCTGACGGTGGTGGTGTTGGGGGACGTGGTGCTGGCAGATGAGATGCTATTGGCTAAGGAGCCGTTTGTAGTCACGGTTTGGTGACCCGGTGCTTCTGACCACGAACATGTTTGTGGTTGGGACACTGGTGACTGGGGTGCTGCTGCGTGGAGCTAGCCGTGTGGCGACGAGGGGGCGTGGAGCTAGCCGTGTGGCGATGAGGGGGCGTGGAGCTAGCCGTGTGGCGATGAGGGGGCGTGGAGCTAGCCGTGTGGCGACGAGGGGGTGGGGGCGTCACTGATGACGGAAGTGCTGGCAGCCGAGCGATGCTGATGGCTGTTGTGTCGGTGGCCGATGTCCTGCTCTTGGAGGCCAGGTGTGGCGATGGTGTTGGCATGGAGGTGCTCCTGTTTGGGGCTGGTCTTGCATGTCCGCATCCGAGTCCCAGGGAAGCGGGGTACCGGCGAGACCCTCCGTTAGGCTCGGGGTGGGTTTGCTTTCAGCCCGGATCCCAAGAGTGACTCCAGGAGACATGCTGCCACCCCCTCTGCCCACTGTACCCACCCAGGGTACCCAACAAGGTGCCCACCAGGCTGTCGGCCACCATGCCTGCCACCGTGCCAGGCACAGCACCAGCCACAACACCCCCTGTGGTGCCCACCACAGCTGCCCTGAGTCTCTCCTCTCGCAGGCTCCCTGTGTAACACATGCCCTGAGAAGTGGGTCGGTTTCCAGCGGAAGTGCTACTACTTCGGAGAGGGCGCCAAGCGGTGGATCCAGGCACGGAACACCTGCAGGGGGCTCCGGGGGCGGCTGGTCAGCATCCACAGCCAGGAGGAGCAGGTGGGCCCGGGCTCTGCAGCGGGGTCGCCAGCATGTGATCGGGGGGAGGGGAGCCCGACACAGCCTCCTGGATGGCGGAGGGACCCGAGCTCAGCGCCCCAGCCCTCCAGCCTGTCCTGCTCCTAGGACTTCCTGGCCACACACAGCAACAAGAAGGGCTCCTGGATCGGCCTCCGGGACCTGCACACAGAGGGAGAATTTGTCTGGATGGACGAGAGCCCCCTGGACTATAGGTGAGAAGGGGAATGAAAAGGAGACGGCCCCAGGCTGACGCGGAGAGGGGGACATCCCCGTGACAGAGGGGCGGGTATTTGGAGGCACGTGCCCCAGGCCCAGGCTTGGGGGAGCCTCTGGACTGTAATGGCGGGAGAGGGTCAGGGCCGGGAGGGCTGGGGAGCTGGGATGAGAGAAGGCAGGTGTGTCTCTGAGCTGCAGAGATGGGTGGGGCCCAGGGGTGGGGTGAGAGGACCCAGGTTCCGAGGGGCGTGTCTAGGCTGAAGGCAGTGGGGCCCTTCCCCCCCGACGCCAACCTGAGCCTCTGCTCCAGCAACTGGCGGCCAGGGGAGCCCAACAACGGGGGCCAGGGCGAGGACTGCGTGATGCTGCTGGGCTCCGGGCAGTGGAACGATGCCTTCTGCAGCAGCTATCTCTACGGCTGGGTATGTGACCGGCTGGCCACCTGCTGACCGCCCGCCGGCCGCCTCGGTCCCCCAGACGTGGACCCTGACAGCCCCCTGCCTACCTGCCACATGTGCCCCTCCTTGTGACCCCCCCCTCAAATACGGGAACAGCTAGGGCCAAACTGGGACCCCGAGGACCCCAACCAAGGCCTGGGCGCCTCTTTCATGGCTGAAGAGTCCTGCTGACATCTCCTCCTGCCCCAAGGACAGTGACCCTTCCCCGGCTCCTGCCAGCTCCCCAGAGGGCCTGTCCCTCACCCCACAACCCAACCTGCTGTCACCACCTCCCTGCCTTCCAGTGCTCAGAGCTCCCCCAAGAACCCCTGCCCATCAGCCTGAGTGCTGGGCGCTCCCTCCCGGATGGGCACAGGTCCAGAGGTTCCAGCCCCACTCCCACTCAGCGGCCCAGGCAGCACCAGGCCCAGGCTTGGCCATGGTCAGCCCAGCACCGAAGGCAGGAGGGAGGCAGGCCAGGCTCTGAGGCCACCCCTCCTTAATGCCCCACCCCCAGTTCCTGGCCTAGAGAAGAGCCAGGCCCGCCCCTGGGACCCTCAGGTCCACTGGAGCAGGAGGACGAATCATGGCAGGTGCCCACACTGGACCACCTGGGACCCTGGGCGTCAAGGGCCAGACCAAGGTCCAGCCATGACCCAGGGGCCTGGGGAGGGCACTCTATTGGCACCTGGGAGTCCTGGGCTCAGGAGTAAGGGACACAGCTAGACCTTTGGCATCCCAGATCACCTTTTCTCTCTGCCTGCTGCCCACCTCCAAATTGGTCTCCCCGGCCCCCTCCTCAGAATGCTCCGTGTGGGAACTCATGACTCCACTCTACCAGTCCCTCGGGCCAACAGTGGGGTCATCCTCGCCGTCCCTTCCCTCCAAACCCATAAGGAAAGCCATGGGCTCTGCCATGCAGCCATATTCAGAACCCGCCCACTTTTCACCCCCTCCTCGCTCCACCTGAACTGGTGTGGTCTCACTTTTCACTGTCCCAAACCTTCCAGAAGTTTCCTTCTAGCTCAGAGAAAAAGCCAAAGTCCTAAAGGACTTTGCCATCGCAGAATCCCTCCCATGCACCTCACCTCCCCAGCTTCATCTCCTCTCTCCTCCCACCAGCCCAGCCTCCTCACTGTTCCTTAAACACCTAGGCCCATGGTTGGCAAACTGCGGCTCGCGAGCCACATGCGGCTTTTTGGCCCCTTGAGTGTGGCTCTTCCTAAGCCTTAGGAGTGCCCTAAGTTAATAACAATGTACCTACCTATGTAGTTTAAGCTTAAAAAATTTGGCTCTCAAAAGAAATTTCAGTCGTTGTACTGTTGATATTTGGCTCTGTTGGCTAATGAGTTTGCCGGCCACTGACTGGTTCTAGGCTTACTCCAGGGCCTTGGCCGGCTGTCCCCTCCCCACGCTCCTCAGCGAGACCGATCCTGAGCACTCTCTGCCCTCATTTAAAATGACACCCCAACTCTGATGTTTTGCCCACTGCACTTTCTCGCCGCGGCACTCCTTCCTTTAACAAAATGTTGGATTTACTGATGTTTGAAGCCCGTCTCTGCTGGCTAGAACACGAGCGTCTACCTTCAGAGCAGGTACCTTTGTTTTGTTCTCAGCTGCGTCCCCAACACCTGGCAAATAGCAGGCACTCAATAAATATTTGTCCAAGTAATGAATGTATGACCGTGGGTGAATGACCTGTTCCTGGGAACCCGCTCTGTGGCCTGTGAAATGAGGGGATGCTGCCCGCCTGAGTGGCAGGTGCTGGGTCCCGCCCTCCGCAGGCAGTGAGGGGCCCAGCCGGCCACACCCGAGGTCCCTCTGGAAACAGACTTGTTCAGGTGCCGTCGGGCAAGGGGTCAGCGGGCGCTCGAACAAGGTTCCCCAAGAGCGGCATGACTTCCCGTCGGGAGGAGTGACTAAGGTCTCAGGGTAGTGGGCAGGAGGGAAAGGGCTGCCTGAGGTGTATTTTTTTAAACAAGGGATGGATGTGTGTTTGTGCACCAATAGCGTTTTTAGAAATTAACTTCAAACTATTTTAAGCGTCCAGATGACTGAAGTGAGCTCACCTACTTCCCCTTGAGAGCCAGGTGTCTAGGGCCACAGTTCCCAAAGGGGAGCCCACGGTGCCTCAGCGGTTCCTGGGAACTTATCAGACATGCAAATCTCCTGGCCACCAAACCTGCAGGATCTGAAACTCAGGAGGATTTAATTCTCTGTGCCCTAGCACACTGCTTCTCAAACTAAGGTACACAGGAACCCCCTGGGTGTCTTGCTAACATGCAGACTCTGTGGCAGTGGGTCTGGGGTGGGCCTGAGAGTCTGTATTACCCACAAACTCCCCAGACTTGTTGATGCTGCTGGTCCCTGGACTGCACTTTGAGTAGCAAGTCTAAAGCAGTGGTCAGCCTGTTTTCTAGGCGCACAGCCACACCCAATACCTGACCTACTACTGGGCACCAACTATTCACTACCAGGACCTTTGTGAAAGAAGTGTGCTAGCCCTGGCCTAGAGGAATCTCTTCGAGATCCTTCCCCTGCCCCACACCTCTCCAGCCTATATTTAGCCTCCAATTGTGATTCCAAAAACTACCAGCAACTCCCCACTCCAGGGGCTCCTTCTGCCTGGTCTACCTCCCAGCTGTCCCTGGGCTCCCCTGGCCCCATCTGAAAACCCAAGCTGGGTCCAACCTGACCCGCCCTGGTATACACAGCCTCAGCCTGGGGCAGGGATCTGGGTCCTGCTGGGTGGATCTGGGATGCACCCACACAAGACACACTTGGGAAGGGTGATCTCTCATCCTTTATTTCCAGCGGGGTCAGCGGCCCTCCAGGGCCCGGTCTCGGGCGATGACAGCCTCCTCAAACTTGATCATGAGCGTGGTGCCCTTGTGCCAGTGTGCCGTGACCTTGGCGGGGAAGCCGCTGTGTGTGAGCACCGCCTCCACGATGCCTGCCGTGAAGCTGGCGCAGTTGAGCGTGCTGTTTTCCTTGGGCACCGAGATGTACGTGTTGATGAGCGGCTCCCGCTCAATGATGTAGAAGGTGCGCGCGTCGTCGTTGGCCTGCTCCAGCTTGTCGGCCTCCTTGCCGAAGAGCGCCTTCCACACGGCGCCCTTGACAAAGAGCAGGGCGCCCAGCACCTTGGTCTCGCGTCGGGC